TTTATAATAGAAGCATCCTCAGGTAATGTAGATTCAAATTTGTTCAAATCATGACCCCCGGGGGTAGGCTGGGACCACAATGGGCAATCAAATTTTTACATAGGAATTTGTAGGAAATCTTCCTCTCAAAAACATGATTAGTTAGTTATATGGAGGCATCCTCAGGTAGTGTAGATTTAAGTTTGTTTAAATCATTACCTCTTGGGGCTTAGGTGGACCACAATGATGGATCAAATTTTACATAGGAATACCTAGAGAAAATCTTTAAAAATATTCTTCTAAAGAATACGTAGGAAAAATCTTTAAAAGAATTCTTCAGCAAAGGCATGATAAGTCATATTTTTATGGAAGCATCCTCAGTTAGGTATAGTGTACATTTTGTTGAATTAGATAGGATTTTTAAATGCTTCTCCAACTGCATTTTTAACTAAATAAATTTTGTGTAAACTACTTGCATAAGTCTTTAATTATTAATTACGTAACGTAAAATGATTGGTTTCTTCTTAGTATATAGTTAAAATCACAGGCGAAACACCCTGGAAAAAATTACAACCCGTAACGAAAAATGTATAGTTTGCGCTCAAATTATTTACATTTACCTTCTGGAAATTCTCCATATTAAATGTGTTACCTTTCCTATTTTCAGAGTGTGAACTTATTAAATAACGATTCTAGGTTTGTATTGTAACGTCCACAGCTGTTAGTGTCTTTAGTTGGTACTTGAGCAGGAGTTATCTGTGTGATTCAGTGAAGAGAATTAGTGAGAGCTCTGGGCGGCTATCTCTAAAACACTGACAGATCGATATATCTGCACAGATACGGATTTGATGGCCCTCTCACCTTAATTGATCACTCCTCCTGCTGAAGAAATTCTGTACCAATTCTACATCTTTTCTTTCTCCTGCAGCTTCTAAACCAAACCTCCTATGCTTCACTTTCACATCTATATAGTTCCATGCTTTAATCTTCTTTTTCTCCTGAGCGTTTCACTAGCTCCTATTCGTATAAATTCACTCATTCTCTTTCTACTCCTTCGCTTCTAGCTTCAGCAGTCCTCATTACCAAAATGTAAAACAACAATTTTTTTTTTCTTTTTCATTTTTATTCCATTTCTATGCTTGTTGCAGGATCCAAAATGTTAGAAAATCTTTCTAAGAATAAAGATCGGTTGTTGAATTGGTCCATCAACCCTGTACCAGAGCGGTGACAATTTCATTTGCATTGTGTGTACAAACAGAATGTTTTAGCAAAATAATGTTGCAAATGACCAGTAACAAGGTACGTAACACAAGAGTTCCATTTTTATTGAAAAAGCAGTTGTCTATGATGTCAAAAAGCCTGGACTTTAATTTATCGTGGGGATTGGTTGTATATAAAGTTGAAAAGTCGCAAGTTTTTATGCTATTGATTTTGGTTAATTTTTTTTATTTCAAATTTACCAAAAGTTCCCTGGAATTTTTAAGTATCCACATCCGATTTACACCACTTCTCGAATATACTGTTGTACAGTATTCCTGAAGTTTCTCCTTCACTGCTGTAAAATATTTTAGTGAGTAAAGAAAGAGGCTTGGTAGAACATTTACTGGAACCCGCTATGTATCTTTGTAAGGATTTTTATGGAGTTTTGGAATCCAGTATAGGTATGGTAGTTCTAATTCATTTTGATTGTTGGGAATAATAAAAATATTTAAAAATGACACATGGTTTTGAAGAATTTCCTCCTTAGAAAAGTAGCTATGGGTATAAGTTGGATAAAATCCTAGTTCCTCTAAAGTACAATTCAAATAATGAGCCTTACAAAGTCAATGTTGTTACCTGCTTTGTCGGGGGAGACCATAATGTATATACATGTATACGTATAATGTATAGAGTTGGTTTAAATGGTTTGTTATTATGAATTTCCGGTTTCAGTTGTAATTTAGGTTAGGTTAATTCATTTGGTGCGTAAGGCGCGGGGAGACTATTTTGTACATAAGTGGACGCCCTGAGGGTCAGTTGACAACCCTTATTAAGCGTTGAGGATCGGTGACGAGCGTTGGATGGAGGGCCAAGTGCGTCATGTCCAAATGTCGACGCTGTATTGATTTGGTACAAGAACGTATGAATTGGGAAGCGATAGACCCGGGGCTGCGGTGAAAGCAGCTACATCGTGGTGACGACAGAACGGCGCAGGACTTAGACATTTCATGATTGGTGTTAATGGCGATTGCACGAGTTGTGTGACTTCCAGAGCACGTGTGGTTTAGAGCAGTTTTGTGCTAAAGTAACTTTGAATAAATTTTAGTTGTTTATGAAAAAACGCTTATATTTGAATATATATTTAATGATTTCAATTGAGCTTTTTCTGAATATTATTTTAAAAGACAAATTTGGTGAATTATTCATGTGATATAATATCTGAACTTATTGAATCAGAATTGTAACAGTTAATATTGAAATTATGTGAACTATCAGAATCGGTAATAACTGAGTTAACAGTTCAATTTCATTCAATTACTGCGTGTGAGTGGTATGTGAAAGTGAGTGAGTGACATAGAACTTGTTTGGGTTTTTTTTATTTTATTTTATTTTTTTAAATAATTTTTTTTTTGTTTATTTTGATTGATTTTTTTTTACCTTCTTAACTCTACAAAATCCAAAAAGAACCCATTACAATGCTATTTCATGGACATACAATTTCAATCTTTCTGACATTTTTGCAAACTGCGGAGATTTTACATAAAGTACTTTAATGTTAGATGAACTATCAAAGAAAATTTTGTAATAATTGAGATTTAATTTTTGCCTACATATTTTTCGCACCGTATGCATTTCGCTCGCCTTGTTCCCCCATCTTCTTTTTGGTTGAGAGTCAATGATCTGAACTTAACATTTTAAAATTTCATACAAAATCTGAACAATCCTTGAGTCGAAAACACTCATAAATCCATTCAAAAAATTAGTTGACTTTCATATAAACTTTTAACTAAAATATTGTTGATACGATTTTAGCATTGATAAAATAGGGGGAAATCCTACTATTAGAAAGAAAGATTGGGAAATTTGCCTCAAGGCCTAGTGTGAGATTAAATTTCCCCTACGGGAGAAGTTCTACTCTAGAGTACAGATTCCGGGGGGGGGGGGGGAGGGGGGAGGCTGGCTATGAGGGAAATCCTATTCTCTACCATACAGGGCAATTTGCTTGCCCCGTATTGACCCAGGATTTTAACTATGGGTCAGTATGTATAGAAGAGAGTGATAGAAAATCTGAATTTTTTATAATTGATGTGTTCTATATACAATCTTGTGAGCTTTTGAGTTTTAAGATTTTACAGCTGTTGTGACATTAGTTTGGATCAGCTCTTTTGTCAATCTCCCTTGCAGAGTTGCCGTTCGTTCCTCTCTCAGACACCTTTGCAATGGGATTGCGTCAAGATTTTTGACACAAGGTAAAAAACTTGATATTCCAAGGATTATTTCAAATTAAACTAATAGTAATAGAACTACTTAGTATATACATGTACCTTAAAAGACAAACATTAGTGCAGGAATTCAATTAAAATGAATTAAAACAAACGCACTATTTCTTGTGCTTAAAGCTGAACATGACTCGTAAATAGGCATAGTTAGAATGATCTGTCCTTAGATATTAAATATTAACTCTTTGTTTGCATGTACTTTTCTCATGTAAGTAAGCAACAGTGATTTCAGTTCAACAACACTTCATTTCTTTAAATATTTTTCCTATGGGTAAATGGCAGGTACGTTGTGTTGAAAATTAAATAGATAAACTCTATATTTACAACTCTAAATGACATAATTTCCGCAGAGTCCAAAAAACATTTTTCATTGGTGTATAGAGGGTCCTTAATTAAAAAAAAGTACAAAATTAAGCCTGGAATTGAAATCCTTTTACGAACAATTTTCATTTCATGCATCTCAATATGAATCAAGGTACAAATGGTCTTGTAAAAAGTTGACATTTGTACCCTATAAAAGTACCAAAATAAATACATTTTCAAAGAAATCGTATTTCCATTAATCTAGCCTTAGATACATGTATCACTGTTTATAAGCATAATATGAAATTAGAATTGATTTGTGATGTCTTATAAAGGTTTTACACTATGTATTAATAACAACTGAAGTAAATAAAAGAACCAAAGTATTTAAAAAACATGCAATTTTCTCCAAATGCCTAAATATCTATATTTTTTTTTATCTAAAATATATTTGTTGATCAATTTTAAATTAGAAAATGCATACCCGGTGCTTTTATTTGCATATACTGAAACTATATTTGAGTTTTGATATGATTAACTATAATGATGAGCTTTGAAGAAATACCATGAGAAAATACACATTACTATGAGAATTCAGAGACATTTTTTTTAATCATTTTCAACAACCCAACTCCTTATGGATCAGACTACCTTAATTTTACTATCTCCAGTCTAAGGCTTCGTATTCGTTACGCCTGACTGTTTTCTTGTTACGGGTACCTGCGCATGTTCATGCTGGTTATTGTACATCATCTTTGTTTACATTTTATTGCAGTTTACGTGTATCTGTGTTTGTTTGTATACTGTGCTGACCTGTGCAACTGTTGTAAGTTTCTTTGGTATCTTTCTCTCCTGCCGTGGAAGAATTACACAGTTACTTTTGACGCTACCAAGTGTTTTACAATAGCCATGAAGAATACGTCCGTTTACACCGGTGACGACTGATTACACTGAACAGTGACTATAAGTGAACGGCTTACATAGAGGCCCTTAGATATAACGACTGAATAAAAGAATATGGCGGACAAATTCCTTTACGAATCATGTTCAGCTTTAACACTGTGATATATGCGAGCTTACGACAGATGTGAATGTATGATGTATTATTTTGTCTTTGGTGGGAGAGGACAGTTTAGGGGGAAAAGTCCTTTCGTTCTGCTTGTGTATAATAATAAAACCAATCCCGTTGATTTTTTATAGAAAGAAATAATTTTAGTTTGATCAAACCTCTTCTTTCGGTAGTTTCATGGGATTTATTTTTTCAAGTATGTACATAATTCATACTTATTTACAAAACAAAAAGACTGTCCATCTCTTCATTCTTACTGGAGAAGGCTTATACGAGAGATAGGCTATGCCTGCTGCCCAATCCATTTATGTTTCAGTACATAATAAAATAAGTTTAAATTTAAAAAAATCAAATCAAATCTCTTCATTATTAAAAGAGATGGTTGATTGGTTTGGGCTTTCTATGGGAATAGTACGAGTAATTCTATTGACATTTTCACCAAAGTCGTTCGATTGTGATCGGTCATCGTTATCGAAACTGTTAAGATCCATGTCTGGAGCCGGACGTAAGTAATCTGTGACGGTATCTACAATAAACATTTAATATTTTTTTTTAAAATCTTAAATTACCTTTTTGTTTCATGTCTACTTTATCAATAATTTACTGACTATCTAAAACAAAGAGTTTTGTACATTTTGTCTGCAAAAAACAAAAAAAACAAAACTCTAGTTTGCATAACAGTTTTTACCTTGCACGTCGATTGCATGTGAAAGGGCTTGACCTGGTGAATATTCCACGTGATGATCTAATTGACCTGTTTAAAAAAAAGAAGAAAAGTCTATACATACAGTACCAACCAGACCCGACCTGACACCAAAGCAGTCCCAGAAAGCAGTCCCCGGGACTGCTTTGGGACCGCTCTGGGACAGGTCTGGGACCGCTGTGGGACTGCTCTGGGACTGCTGTGGGACTGCTCTAGAAAGCAGACCCAGCAGTCCCTGGGACTGCTTTCTGGGACTTCTTTGTTCACTCATGCGTGAAAAAGGTTCTGAGTGACATGATAGCTCCGCCCCTTGTGTATTCTGAATTTGCAGCTCCTTGTTGTTGTTTTAATTTGTTTACTTTCTGCAGAGAGGTGTTTAAGATAAAAGCAAATATAAAAAAAAAAACAAGTATTGATTTCTTACAAAAATTAAATAAATAGAGACAGTTATACATGTAATGACTAAATGTATTCAGAGGGCTGTAAATTTACAAAATTGTAGTCTAGAATTAATTTTAAGAAGATAAAAGTAGTTAAAAAGGGAAGTCAGAGGATGATTTTTATCCCTTAAATTAAACTTCAATACAGGTGTTTGAAAAAAAAATTATCTAGGCCTATTTAATAAATTAATGCTGTCAAATTACATATGTACTCAAAGTTTGCATTAGCACTATTTAAAAAAAAACCAAACAAAATACAAACTTGTCATTTCAGTAAGATACATGTATTTAGAGGAACGTACTGTACTGGATTTTTTTTCTTAATTGAAAAAGCTAATACCATGCACTCCATGCTATTTTTTACCACCCTCAAATAAAACCTAATAATTTATTTAATGACCATGAAATAAAATTATTCTACCATTCTTCTGTCACATAAACAATCTGAACAATTATTCCGGGATTTATTTATGAATTAGTTTTTAATTTATAAACAAGTCATTGAAAGAGTACATCTATTTAAAAAAAAAAAATTGAAAATATCGGGAATTGTGACTTGTTTCTTATTTCTTTTGTTTGTGTTTACCTGGCCGGTTAATACAATGGGATTGTATAAAATGGTGTCAACACCTGAGGTTTCAATCGCCTTTCGGCATAATTAGCAGAAAGTCAATGCATGTTATTTGGGTGTCAGTGTTACACATCACTGAACACGCTGGTCAACATTGACACTAATTTCAGTCTATGTCATGCAAAAAATCTTAGTTTCAATAATTGTGTATAAATTTATTTCGGGATTAATTAATTTTGAACATAATCTGAGGGTTCCATTTGCGTGATTTACAGATGTACACCCGAACATTTATATAATAAAACACTTAAAACTGAGAATCTAAAGATAATTAAATTGGGAAGTTGAAAATAATCATGACTGAAATACAATACTCGGCAATGTTTAACAAAGAATTTTTCAAAAGCTCCAGTACTTTAGAAAAATGGATTCAGAGTATAGTATGGGAATCGGCCTTGCTCTATAATTATTATTATCTATTTAAAGCTAATTCTGGTATAAAATAAACAATTCAAGTTTAATTTTCTATATAAAAAAAATAAATATGAAAACCAATATCAATCACAAAAAATGAAGAAGTTGGTTTATTTTGGTTAAAAATTAATATACCAAATAATTGTGTTTAAATATTCATGTTATTAATAGGTGTGAACGTCTTCTTCATTCAATAATTATAATTTGTTTCTATACGCGTACTGTGATTTTCTTAACAGTTCAGAAATGACTGTCGCGTAAGAATTGTAAATATTTGTTGATACTTCTCAGAAAGAATTGCTCATCAATTTCAGCTGCCTTTTATATAGTTACATTGTTTATTGGTAATCTCATTCTGAGTAAGCTCCGCCCATTAAATTAAGTAACCCCGCCCACTAGGACTGCTGGGACTGCTTTTTGGGACTGCTGGGACTGCTTTCTGGGACCGCTGGGACTGCTGGGACCGCTGTGGGACTGCTCTGGGACTGCTGTGGGACTGCTCTGGGGCTGCTTTGTGTCAGGTTGGTACTGTACAATGTTTGTCCATCGTCATCAGTTATACTTACCTTATACTGACGCACCAGTCTTATGGCATTATTTTCATCCACATGCATTTGCAAACGATTTAACAGTATTAAATCCGCCAAATAAAGTGTTTATTACTTTAGAGCTACTTTATAATTAATACTTTGTGTGTTACTAAAATTAATGCCTTCCCTGATAGGGTATAGGATTTCCTTTCTTTTTTATAAAATAACTAAAAAAGATAATTATTAAAATGTTCAAAAATGTATTCACATAATGGTGATACTCGTACATGCACATCTCAAATATTTAAATATCTAAATAAATAAGAAATACTCATTTTCAATACCTGATAATGCATTAATAACACCCGGAGGGATGAGTGGGCGGTTACCTTCATGATTGGATACAGCGTCTATAAAAGTTTTGAATATAAAAGTAGATATTAATAAAAAACAAAGAAATGCTTCCGTTATCACTCTTTGGACAAATTGTCAGGAGAATTATTAAGTATGACTGTATGAGGGAACTTATTGATGATAATGTATCCTAACCGTTTATGAAAGGACGCACACATGCTTGGGGTCGGTGAAGTCTCTCTGTACTAAGCTGTGCTGTAAGGATTTAAAAAAATATGTTGTTGTTATTTGCTGTTGTTGGGTTTACATCGAGTAATCTATGCAACAAACAAAAAAGATACCTACATATGTACATGCGTTCGTTCAAAAAGATATACATGTATGTTTTGAAATAACACTTCTGAGTTGAGCTTCTGTGGTCTTAGAATTTTTGACTGAAAATTTAAACCTTTGAAAGAGGTTGGCTCCTGAGTATTTCTATGACATTTTCTTCTGATGCAACAAATTGCTAATATCAAACCAAGAATGGTAAATATTCCACCAGTTGTCCACAGAACAGTTTCAGTTATAAGGCTGTGAAGACAAATAATTCTATAAAGATTTATGAAGACGCTCACTTTCTTTGCCATTTCAACATGCTAAAATTAAATATCAAATTTGTTCTAATAGCAATTATAGTCAAAGTACTGATTAAAGCATAAATCTCTCTCTCTCTCTCTCCCTAAGATGACCAAAGAGATAAATATTAGTTAAAACTTGAACAGGAATTAGTAAATGTATAATACATGTAACATAATCTGACTTAGGATAAAATTCAATGTTCTTGTCCTCTTGCTCAGTATCGCCAGGAAGATGTACCTCTGTGGTTATCTTCAAAGATTTATTTTTGCTTTCTTCTTTGAAATATCCATCTGTGCTAAAAATTTAAAGAAAAAGTTAATAGTGTTTTATATTTAATGCCCTTCCTCTATATATAAGAAAATTAGATGTTTTAATTTAATTCAACATAAAAATTAATTTAATTTTTTTTTTTTTTTTTTGTAAATGTTACCTAGTTTTTTCTGGTTTTTATTAAATCTCCATTATCAGAGTTGTGATTCATGGATTTTCCAGGTAGCATATTGGATTTATATTGACAATTGCAGGGGTCGGGTCCCTCATAGCCTTTTGTTACGTCACAACGGCATTTCTTATGGCATCCTGCCAATGAAAAGGAATCTGTCGGAACCGAATCTGTAAAAAGAAGTGGGTATGTTGTTTTCTTTATGTATCAAAAATGAGTTTCTTACTTTAGCTTTGTCATAATTGAAAATAGCAAGAATTAAAAATTACTTTATTCTCTGAATAATTTAAATTATCATGACAATATATTTACTTGGCGGACATTCATGGGGAATACAAGGCTGTGGTAGAAAAGAATTTGTTGGATCCTCCATGTATGTCCCCTCTGGACAGGGACCACATTTATCGCTGGTCCCATTAGAGGTACACACAACAACATAGAAACCTGAAAGATTAACAGTGATTGAAGAATTCATACGATGAGTTTATTCTTTAAATAAACACAGCTAATTTGCTTGCCATGGATTCAATGTAAGCTGAAATATGAAATTTATATTCTCTTTTACAGCTTCACAAGAAAATGAATGTATATTTTGATGTTAATATATGAAACGTTCTTTTTTACCTGGACTGCAACTGATGGCACAACATTTTGATACAGCCCCTGTTCGGTAATTTTCCCTTTTTATCCATTGTGTACAGGGCAGGATAATCGTCAAGTTCTGGTGGAAAACGAAATTAAGTACTCATTAATTGTCAAATGAGGAAACTTATTACAATTAACTATTTTGCTATAAAACTAGGTTGAGAGTAATTATCATATTTTTATCCTCATCCTGATGGTAAGAATATGAACATAAAAACTGTTACAAAAAATTCAATCATGAGAAATTAATTTCATAATTGTAAACATGACTGTAAGCATATTAATTTTTTTTTCACACTAAATGAGGAAGAAGTATTCTTTATAGCTCAAATTCAATCAAGTATACACGATAAGCAAATTAAATGTTTCCTTAATGTGTGGTCCAGCTTTAGCCCTGTACTTACACATGTCAGAATTATAACCAAACGAATTAGGACCAACAAGGACATTATCTCATTTCATCTGTAGGCAGTGTTTTTTATTTACTGAAATTCAAATTTTAATTAATGACATGTAAGATTAAAACAAATGCGTTTATAAATTATTGTATATAATGAACAAACCAAGGCATGGATATATATATATATATATATATATATATATATATATATATATATATATATATATATATATATATATATATATATATATATATATATATATATATATGTGTGTGTGTGTGTGTGTGTGTGTGTGTGTGTGTGTGTGTGTGTGTGTGAGGGTGTGTGTATGTGTGTGAGGGTGTGTGAGGGTGTGTGTGAGGGTGGGAGGGTGTGTGTGTGAGGGTGTGTGTGAGAGGGTGTGTGTGTGTGTGTGTGTAGGAAATATATAGAGAGTACATAACTTTTAAGAGATTTATTCAGAATAACATTTTATTTCCTAAACATTCTGTTTGATACATATTAACTAAACTCCAGGGTATTTATATTAATTTTATCTTCGACTTAGTTTCAAATTTGCTATATATAGAATATATACTGAGTGCTAGTTTATTTTTATCCCCAGCTCAGAAATTGTTTTCTTATTTGAGTACATAACATACCTCATAAGCTCTGGAATTCCACTGATGTGGTAAATCAGACTCTTTAATACACAGAAGAAAAGTGAGTTAACATACACGGTTCTAGTTTCGTTTCCATCGTTTTTTAGGATGACCTAGTGCGCATGCACTATAATGTAAAGCTTACATACTGCGAGGGAAGATTAGTCATAATATTTCATACTTTATTCCTTCCTAATGCGTACTTTTGCGTTTAGGTTAAACGTATCCGTTATAAATGAAAATACAATGAAGTTTATCTTAGGGATATTCATTTTCATTATATGTGTGTGGGTGGGTGTGAGGGTGTGATTGTGTGATATTTAATTAAAATCAAAATTTCTCGATATTTGACAAAAGACAAATATATAAAATATATAATTTAATTCATGGTAAAAACAGAAAATATTACCTCAAATGTAACTGTAAAATATGGAATTCCATATACGACAGCCAACTGCTTACTGCCAACTGCTCACTGCTTCCTGCCAACTGCTCACTGCTTACTGCCAACTGCCACACATATTTGAATAAATTTTCACATTTATATTGATATTTATGTGAATTTTCATAAAACCAGGCGCGGATCTAGGATTTTTTTTACAGGAGGGGCCCACCCCAGTAAAAAAAAAATCCAACCCAGAAATTTCTTGACCAAAAAAAAACAACAACAAAACAACAAAAACAAAAACGTAAACTCCTTTCCTATACGTGAAAAACCTATTTCGGCGGGGGGGGGGGGGGGGGGGGGGTGTTAACATCTTCATATTATCTATGACTTTTCATATCAACTTAACACGGATCCGCGTTTTCGGGGGGGGGGGGGGGTCCAAGGTCACTTTTAGTTGGTTTAGTATAGGTCTATACATTAAATAACTCTACAAATTCCAGGGGGTGGTCCGGACCCCCCCCCCTCCCAACGACCCCCCCCCCCCTCTAGATCCATGTATGTAAAACATAACTTATTTGGGAAAATAAAGAGATATAGATCTTTAATTTGAGAAAATATTTCACTATAGAAATTAACGGAAAATGGAACTTTATTTTCAAAACATCTTCCCCCGCGAAACAACAGATCCTTTTTTTCAGTTTTTATTCATTCCAAAGGTTTTGTTGTCTCACGGGGGGGGGGGGGGACGGGGCACGTGTTTAAAGATTAAAAACATGAAAATAGTCATTTTATTACCAATTTTAAATGAGATCACAAATTTAAAAAAATGTACTTTATCACTTTATCAATCTCAAATGTTAAATTTTACATAAGTTAAAACATACGGTGAGATTTAAAGACGTACAACACACTGGGGGAGATAACTCTTGCAATTTCAATTAAACGTTTAACTTGACGTCAAATTTGACGTTTATAATAAAGCGTCAAAATGACGACCGAATTGATCCCGACGTAATTAAAAGAAAATGGGATTAGGGACTTGATGTGGTTTCTTTAGAAATACCAAATCGTATCTTTGATTGTTTGCGCTTTTGATGTAAAACCCACCCCTCCTTCCATAAAAAGGGAAGAAAAGAAAGATTATGTCTTAAAATTTCTTTAAATTTATAAGAAACTCGTATCCGTGATCAATATTAGCAGAACAATATTCTTTATTTTTTTTTTATGATACATTGCTTTCTTTTGTTACAGTTGGCTATGTAACATTCGCATTACCAGATCACGGGCCTATCTTAAAATTAAGAATTAGCCATATAAATACTCTTTTGTTCTCCTTTTAAGAAAAAAAAGTTTTACGACCCGTTTCCAAAAAATTCACTGGTCAAAGAGGAACAACTCTAAAAATTTGGGAGATTTTCCCCTTCCCATCTTGAGTTATTTACTCCTGTTTGCCGATCAGTTATGAAGACACATTTACAATGAATTCTGATGAACTCAGGAACTGAAAACTATAATATATACTAAGTAAGTACCCAAAATGCAATAGAATTGTTTACTGAAATGGTCCGAATTAATGAATACCTTATATGCGGCAAACTGGCCATATCCGACCATCTAGATCTACGATCTACCTCTGTAAACAATTTCAGTGCGCATTTCCTCGAATCAAAACAAAACGTTAATTTGATACATGTATCACAGGCACTTGGGGTCTGGACCCCCCCCCCCCCTTTCCATTTTTTTTTTCTTTTTAAATATGGAGTCGATTCACCTTTTTCCTATTTTTGTATTCTAATATGCACTATATGTTATCAATAATGTAACTCTTTTGTCTCTATATGCTGTTTTTAAATATACCGTTTTCGACTGATACATAAAAAGAGAGAAGGCTTGCAACTCTTTTCTCATCGTCTGCCTCACCTCGCTTAAACTTCGCCTGATTTTTTATCGAAAGAATAAGAAAACATGGAATATGCATACATCAATAAATTCGTTATACATTCTTCTTTCTTTTCAATTTTCCATTTAATTTTTATGTGCCCCCGATTTGTAAATATTTCGATTAAATCATCCGCATCTAGGGTAAATTTTGTTGATGTGCACCAGCTGGGACGGAAGTGCCCGGTATTTTCGGGTATCATCATTACATGTAATGTAATTCGGAACATTAAATGCGAGAAGGAATACATCCCGAATTTTCTCTTCATATAACATGTAACGGTAAGTTCTGTGAATAACAAGATAACTTTAACTAGCAAATTTTAATGGATGAAGATTATACTTTAAATAGACGACCTAGACAACCAAATTCCACAATATTGTTATTACAAAGCCTGGAATTTTTTTTAATGCAGAACATTTATAAAGTTAGAGTTACCGTTATTGCACTTCCGTCCCAGCTGGTGCACATCAACACTGGAAAAGGGGGGGGGGTGGGTCCAGACCCCAAGTGCCTGTGACATGTATCACTGTACGTGAATATTTTGACACATGAATAATTTACTTTAATTTAATTAAACATAGATGGAGAATTTACAGTTTGATAAATTAGACCCCTCTCTTGTTTGAAATAAATAAGAAACAATATATTCCATTTACCAGTCTGTTTACATCATAGAAGAGTTGAATTTTCAATATTGTGCGTTCACTTTTAATGAAAAATGAGATTAAAATTCAATGTAATTTGAATTCATACGCAGGTATGAAATTAAATGCATTTCAGCCATGTGTATGGACTACATATTGGACACGTGGAATTAAAATCCTTAGAGAAAAAGTTTACTTTTATTCTAGTAGTTGATAGTTTAAGTCTTATTCTAGTTGTCAGAATTTCAATCTGCATGAATGAATGAATGAATGAATGAATTCGTACTTCAGGGATTTAAAAGATTAAATATATATCTCGAGGTAACCTATGTTTCATCAAGTTCTAATGACTGCGTCCAAAAAAAAGGGGGGGTTCTTCGTCAAAAATTGCCTATACATCTGCATTTCAATGAACTGAAAAGTTTTAAGAACTCCGATATATAATGTAATTAATTTTTTTAAAGCAAAAAATATTTTGAGAAACGTGACTGAAGGAGAAGGGGGGTGGGGGTGATTTTTCGCTATAAATTCAAAACGGCTCGTTTAAAAAAATTACAAAAAATTATCAAGATTACGTTTGCAACCAGTTACATGAAAAAAGTATTTTTTCCAAAATTAAACGATAGGTTTTTTCATAAAAAAAAACATTTAAATAAAAAAATACGCATTTTTTAAGGCTTAAACGAACCATAGTTTTTCAGTTTAAGGTCTTCAAAAAATATTTTGTCAATGAGTACCTCTACAAAAATACTTTATTTGAGTGGATAATGGTTATATGAATGAGTCGATGAAATTTGACGGCCAGACTAGCTCAACTTTTTTGATAATCAAGGATTTTATAGCCAGCCGAATGAAAATTTCTTCTCCGCGTGTACAACCAAAGGGGGGTAACTTTTGAAACTTCCTGTCCAAATACGACTCGAACGATTTTGTCCAAAATGTGCATACGCATTGTATATATAGTCATGTATAACATATACAAAAATAGCGAAAATTAAACGACAGGAAATTTTTCGTGGTGGGTGTGTTGT